TCTTGGTGGGAGAGGCCTCTTCTCCTGCTGGGAGGACGCGTGAATGTCTTGTGTGCATGTGACAGGTATTTCAAGCCCTCATGCCTGAAACCGTCCCCGTGCTTCTCTCAGAGCCCCACTAAGTGGAGCATCTCTGTCATCTTTCCCTTCATAACCCTAAAGCTGCGGCTCCGCATCCCCGAGCACTGGGCGCTGTGGAGGACACTCTGTGGACGCTGCCTTCTTCCTCGGTGTGTGACCTTCCCTCCTTTCTGTCCTGATAGGATCACCTTCGAAATTAGAGCTCACCGAGAAAAATGTCGGTGTAGATCTTTGCCATTAAAAATGTCTTATGTGCAGTTAATCCTTTTAAGCTACATGTGAAAAATTTTCTTGCCTTTTCTTTTTTGTTGTAATTTATCATCCTTCTTAATTTTAGTATTGTTTGCTAGCCAGATAGGCTAAGAATCATTGAGGGCAAAATCTAGGGCTGACTTAACCTTACTGTTTCCTAGTCTGGGTAGCAGTGGAAGTCTGGGATAAATACAGGGGTTATTGTTCACCAGTCTCCGTTCAGGTCCCCCGCAGCAGGGCCTGAGACAGTGATTTGCATGCGAGGATTTATGTGGGAAGTGCTCCCAGGAGAAACTTCTAGGGAAGAGAAGGGCACAAGGCTGGGAGTGAGAGACGCTTGGCAAGGGGGCAACTTCAGGAAGGGACTGGTGTCACCCACTGACGACATCAGTGCCCAGTGATCTAATCGGCTCTCCGGCCCCCACCTCCGAACAGAGTCCTCAACACTTGAGTCTTAGGGGATATTTCATGTTTAAGCCGTAACTCCTGCCTGAACACCGAGTGGGACCTCCATGCTCCACAGGAATTGGTCATTCACTATGGGCCGCCCCAGGGTGACAGGGACTCTCAGGCACCTTCAGCTCCCTGCACACGGGTGGAGAAGCTCTAGTGACTAGGGGCAGGTTTCTGGGAGGCCAACGGTGGAGCTGCTGAAATAAAATCATGCACGCAGGGGCTGTGTGAGAGGAATGGTGAGGGCCCCAGGGGGACCTGAAGGACACCAGAGGCAGGAGCATCGAGATGGGACACAACACGGCAGGGAGTTACGGTGGCTTACACAAGGGTGCTGTATAATGACCGTGTACTCCTTCGGTAAAGTGGCCTGTTTTTGTGCTGCTTCATTCTGTGTCCTTGCCCTGGAGCAGGGGTGCGAGCCTGTGGCACGCACTTGTGATCATTACAGCTCTAAAAGGTTCGCCCTCACTGCCCTCGAGGCTTTGATGTTGGCAGACGACCCCTCAGCACACGCCGTGTTCCATTAGCCGTGCCCTGGCCCCGGCAGTTGTCACTTCCGAGTCACCTCTTACCATGCATTCGGTCTCTGAGACGCCTGCTCGTTGTTCTGGCAGGGGACGGGGACCCCAGTGAGGTCCCATGGGAGAGCGTGATGGGGGGGGGGTGACTCCGGAAGCTGCCTGTGGCCTGGGCTGTGGCCATCCAGCCCCTCTGGGCTAACCCAGAGTTTGCTGGCCCGGGAAGGGGTTCTGACAGGCGGCCGATCACAATGGCTGCGTTTGTTTCTGGGCCTGCCTACGGGGCTCTCGGCTTGTGCTGACGTTTGCAGCCCAGGTGAGTGCTCTGGTGACTCTTACTGCTCACCCCGTGTGTGGACTGGCTGAGCTCTGGTGGCAGTGCCTCTGGGTCAGACGCCATGCTGCATGCAGGGCTTGATTGCTCAGGACTGAAATGTGCCCTCCGCTGATCCGCAGAACCCTGGCCCTGTGTGTTTAGTAAGTAATTAAGGTTTAAATGGGATCCAAACAGTGGGGTCCCAGTCCAGTGGGTGGGGCCTTATAAGAGCACACGCCCTTAGGAAAGGCCATGGGGGCCCATGCGAGGGAGCCACTAGGAAGCAAGTGACCGGCTGGACCTGGGTCTGGAACTCCAGGCTCTAGAAATAAACATTGTGCCATGGGGTGTAAGCCACCCGGCCCGTGGCTGGCAACTGTGCTGGTCCAAGGAGCCCGCAGTGCTCCGTGGTCCTGTGTCAGTGGGGCAGAACCACCAGGGCTTTCCACGGTCTTATTTGTCCAGTCAGTGACTTGTTAGGACAAGGGGTGGATGTGAAAAATGACTATTTATTTCAGGGAAAAAATAAGAAAAAGTGCTCATGGAGAAAAGGGTGCTTTGAAGGAAGAAGAGAGACACATTCTGTGAGCAGCACGGACCACGGCGAGAACCAGAGGCAGTGGAATGGTCACTTGCTCTGTCTTCTTTGATCCAGGCGGCCCCCCTCAACCTTGTGTGAGGAGACTGGCATCAGGTGCCAGCTGGGTGTGTTTGAATTTTGGGAGACTGGTACCTGGCATGGGCTGTGTCATCCCTGCATCTGTGGTTAACCAGCTTCAGTTGGTAGGCTGTACCCACCCACTCAGCCACAGCACCGTGCCCTGGTCTCCTGCTTTTGTCAGAGGAAAATGTGTTGGCACACACAGGGCAGCTCCTGGTTCTGAGCCATGTGGGGCAGTGAGGGGGTGACGTGGAAAGCTCTGAGCACTGTGTGGACTTTACTGTCTTGGTGACACATCCTGAGGGAGCGAGGGGACACGAGAGAGAGAGGCAAGTCCCTGCCCCACATACCTCGTCCTCTGCAGAGTTCGGGTATGTGTGCGAGAAGCCCCAGGCTCAGGACTCGATCCCGGGGCCTCTCAAAAGGAAAAGCAAAAGCTACAGAACTGTAGAGCCGCTTCAGGTTCATTCCGGCTGGAACCAAGTGGAGGGGAGATAGAGGTCTCCTCACACTCTGGGGAGAAATGCTGAATATCAGCAGTTGATTGAATATTAATGTGCACGGGGTGGGACAAGCCTGGCTCCCTCCTGCACCCCACAGCCCGGTGACCCAAGGACCAGAGGCCTCGATGCGCACATCTGGCTGGGGAGGAAGGGCGTGGTGCCGGACCTCTGCTTTGACTCACAAAGCACTGGGATGAAACCCTAAAACGCAGTAACACTGAGGACAGTGTTTTCTAATCTTCAAACAGGGGTCTAAGTTTTTCAATTGCATTTGAATTTATACTTTTTGAAAACCAAACAAGACATCCTATTGATGAGGTGTCAGATCTCCCTGCTTGCAGTTAAATATTTATTCCCAAAGCGACAATCAGTCCAGCAGCTTCACCCAGAAAAAGGCTGCGGAAGGAGGATGGGTTCCCCGTTCTCCTGAGCACACCCACTCCACGTCAAGTGTTTGGATTTGCACACAAGCTGTGGGCCTGTGCACCCTTTAAACCATGACTGCTTCACTACTGGGTTTTCCCTAAAACGCTGCCCAAATCCTTGTTCCAGGTCCCGTGTTTGGATTCTTCACTTGGTCCCCAGCTGTTCCGCAACATTTGGCAGGACATTTTCCCACTTGGAGCTGTGACATTCAACCCTCCACTCGCTCTGACACATCTTCAGGGTCACTCACTGCTCAGGTCAGGGGCCCCTACCCAAACCCCTACCCTCCGATAGTGGGGTGAACACCTACCCTGGCAGGTTCTCTACCAAGAGATGGTGTCATCATGATGCAACCCCAGGCAGATAGCCAGGAGAGCCAGTGCCCAGGGAGCTGTGTCCAGTTCCGTATCCCCCTGGGTGTCATGCCCTTGCTTTGAAATGAGCAGATGGGACTTGTGCTCACCTGGTAATTAAGGTTAACGAGCACACTCCATCTGCCTTTGAGTTCATGTTCCTTGCTTGTACCCCAGCACCAGCATCTCAGGGGACCTGGTGCTATTTCCCTAGCACTGGCAATCAGGTGCTAAGGCCTGGCCCTCATCCCAGACAAGGTCACCAGGCCAAGGCTCTTAGAATGCTCCCAAGACCTGATCTTAACTGAGGCTGACACTGCTCAGAATTCCGGAGTCAGCACTTGTGGGGTCAGAAACGTGTCTTGGTTGCTTTCCTCTCGCTGAGACAAAACACCCAATGCCCAAAATTAAAGAGGGAAAGGTTTATTTAGCTCATGGTTTGTGGAGGTTTCAGTTCATAATCAGCTGGTTCCAAGGCAAGGTGGCACAGGGCAGAGGGCAGTGTCATGGCAGCGGAAGACAGCAAAGCAACCAGCACAAAGAGGGAGCAGCGCGGGAGGAGACTCTGTCACCCTTATATTGTATGCAGGCCACATCCCCCCAAGGGCAGCACTCACACCCATTACCCCAGCACTGGACCAACAATCAATCACAGATTCTAGAAACCTGCTTTCATGACTGCATGAGGCGTCTAGGTGGGGAGACACCTAGACACAAACCGTAACAAGCCCTCTCCCCACAGCCTAGTGACAGGGAGGGAAGTGGGCCGCATGTTTGCAAGGCCTGGGCGGCAGGTAGGCCAACCAGCGGCCACGGCAGCTTTTAGGCCAGTGCCAGCTGCTGTGTCCTCCAAACTGGGCCCATTGCACCTGTGTCTTCGCCACAGAGGCTGGGGACAAGGAGATACCAACCCAGAGGGACATCGGCTGCACATCCCACATGGTCACCGGCAGAGGCAGCCGGGCGCGCTCTCCCTAGTCCTGGTGAAGGCCTGTTACTGCGGAGACCCCACAGGTGCCGTCAGCAGGTGGGCACGTGAGCAGTTTGTCTTCTGCAAACACCGAAACACTGCACATTGAAGGGCACAGCTTGCTCACATCTAGGACCTGCAAACCAACCCTGGCACACAGAGTGCACGGGCTCTTGGGATGGGGACAGGCGGTGGTTACAAGTGGCCATGAGGCAGGTTCGGTGTGTCATGTGTGTGTGGTCCTCGTGCCTCACTCCCTGGCCCAATACCAAATTCTGCACTTTTGCATTAAGTTCATTCACCGAGAGGAAACAGCGAATCGCTCTTGTGTGTCTAGGAGGTGCAGCCTGCTATGGGCCAGAGCCATAGCCGCAGTCACCGGTGAGTCCTTTAGAAACGGCTCGCCAGCTAACACGCTCCGGTCCTCCCTTCCTTGAAAAAGGATCAAACCAGAGGAGCCAAAAAACGATGCTCAAAGTTTATGTGAAAAGCATGGGATGAATGGGTGAGTGAGAAACTGGTGCAGATTGAACCTGGGCTGAACAAAAGAGGAAAAGAGAAGAGCAAACAAGAAATAACTCCTGGGCCAGGAGACTCGAGGCGGCCTGCTGTGGGGGTCACCATAGCAGGTTCTCCATGGTACCTGGCTCTTTCAGGCCAGCCACACCTCGTGGGAACCCATGAGAAGTTCTACATACGCGGTCCTGGGAGTCATTTGGTGCTGCCCTGGGATCTTGTGGTTGACCCCACTTAAGGTTCTGTATGTTCCCCGGCCAGCTTTGTCACACCTCACCCGCTCTCTCCCCGCCACCCAGAGGTAGCAATGGAAACCAGCATTTCGATTTCTGCAGTAGCAGAAATTTCTACAATGTCTTAAAATTTTCTACTTAAGTGAAATGACGATGTGGTCATTTCAGGAAAGGAAAGTGTCCCACAGTTCTCAGCCCACACGGCATCTTTGGAGAAGATGACTGCTGTGTGGAAGCCCCTCAGCACTGTGCCAGCACGTGGCCAACACATGCGTGCTGCTTTAAAACAACCTCGCCAACGCCTGATGTCAGGTCTGCAAACTGGGCCACACAGCAGAAAGGAAGGAACTCACTTACCAAGTCTGTCAACAGGAAACCTGGCAGAGCAAACTAACTAAGTTAGTTACTTACTCACTTACTACATTTCTCAATAAGAAAACCTGCTAGCAGAAAGTTGCAAATCCAAGAAAAACAGCTACACTTATGGGACGCACACCATTGGCTAGTCCCAAAGAAAAGCCACAGAGATACCCTCCGTCCCAGCCCCAGAATGGCCCAAAGTTTCCAGGCCCTCTTCAGCAGTGCTTCCTCCACTACCTCACTCCCCTGGAAGATGTGTTCTTGTTCCCAGCTCGGGGCCAGTGGTCTTTCCACCCTGGCCTGGCCGCACCCAGTCTGTAATGAAGTCCTCTCAGGTTGCTTAAACCTGGCCAGTCTCGGTGGCCCACCCTAACACCTAACATCACTAAGAGCTTTCCTAGCTTTTTCTTTTGCTACTTCTGAACAGCATGGTGAAACAGGAGAGATGGTTGTGGCTGTGACCCCAGGGTTCCGCGGGACCCAGACGAGAGGCCAACCTGACCAATTTAGTGACTTAGGAAGACCCTTAGTGGGTATCTGAAAAAAAGTCTGAGGATGCAGTTTAGTGTGAAGATGCAGGGTTCTAGCCCCAGGGCTGCAAGAGTGAAAAACTAATAATTAGATAGATGACAGATATGCTGAAAGATGATCAAAAGCTATAGACTTAGGTAAAAGTAAGAAGTAGCTACTGATTTGTTTAGCACAGAGAACAAGATAGGACTCACATTACAAAGCCAAGACATGACTTCACTTCCTTGGCCACAGGTCCAAAGAAACCCTGGAGCCCTGGTTAACAGGCATCGCTCTCTAGGGACAGCCGACCCTCCCAAACTCACTTGGCTAGAGAAAGTCGGCAGCAAACACACTGAGCTGCTTTTTCCCCAGGTCGGGGTGGCAGCCTCAGGACCTCACGCAGCAAAGGCATCTGTAAAGATGACTGACTCCATCCAGATGCCTCAGGGCACCCAGTACGAATCCTCACCTGTCAGGAGCAGCCCACGGCCAGTCTCCCCAGACAGACCACCAGTCACCCAGAAAAAAGGAACCCACTGCATTTTCTCTAAGCCAAATTACCAAGAACATAGTGACGCAAAAAAGCCCAGGGCAAGTCTTGCCAGGCCTGACCATCACTCGGAGACACCCACAAGCTGTCTGCAGGTTTTCTCAGACCCAGCTACCAAAATCCCAGAGACACCAAAGTCCAGGGTGGGAGCCCAAAGTCCCAGCTACTAGACCCCAAGAGACACCAAGAAGCCTGTATACGTCCATCCTGGCTGAGCCGCCACTATTCTAGCCAGTGTGGTCAGGGCAGGAGGTCAGGCTGCCCTCCTTTGGGGAGCCCTTGATGTCAGCTTCCCCCCGCCCAGTCCGTTAGCCCTTCTGTGGTCCCTTCTTTATGAGCACCTCTGAGAGCTCCACCTTCAGGGGACAAGCCCTGGTAATGGGAAAAGACATCCAGAAAATACATTTTGAACCTTCTGTCTCTTTCGAGGGTCTTTGCAATAGAGTTTAAAACACGCATTCTTTGACAGTGAATAGCTTTTCACCGCAAAATGCATAGATGAGGAAGATCAGTGTGCTGTATCACAGGGTTAGAAGAAGCCTTTAAGCTTTATGAGCTACACAAGGATTCTCACACAGCTCCTTGTGTACTAGAACATCACTAAATACCTGGTCAAGGTGAAGATAAATCCATCAGCTATAAGAAATTCATCTCTCTGCAGAGGGCCATACTTTCCTAGCCAAACATTTCAACAGGCATGTGCACTGGGCTATCCACACAGACTGAATGGGAGCTCAGACCACAGTCTGTCTGTCAACTGTAAGAAGTGCCACAAATGTTGTCATTGAATGTGAGCGGCATTCTTTGCCACTGGAACCCATGATGCCGACAGATCAGTCATCCTTGCCTCCAGGTCCTGCATAGACAGTCAGTCTTCATTATTAAGGCATGAGAGTTTGGACCACGCTGGTGAGGAAAAAGAGGGCAGCAAACCCCAGGGAGAGAGGCAGAGTTTCATTAAGTTTTAAAGACTTTGATTTGCTTCAAGAATTAGGAGGAGGAATGATGTGGGAGTGAGTACTCTTGGTTCAGTTGAAAAAGACAAATTGCATTTATGCAATGAAAGGAGCTTGTCAGCACTGACCAGGTACAGACAGGGAAGCATGCTTTGGAGCAGGCATCAGTCATCCTTGCCTTCTTGATTCTGGACAGAAGCAGACCATTTCTTGTTAAAGACTATGCAAATGGAGGAAATCTAATGTTTCATGTTCTAATGTTACAGCAACAAAGTATAAGTCTTGAAGAACATTCCAGAGTACTGCAGTAATCAGTTTGCTTTCAGTTATCATGAGCGATGGATACTGTATAGAAACTTGAAATTGCACAGCGTGTTTTTGAACTCAGAAGGACACATTAAGCTCACCGACTATTGTGTAAGGAAGGATTACAGCCAGTAGATACAACCAGCACTTTCGTGGGCTCCTACTGACCCTGCTCTAGAAATTCTAAGAGGAGGAGAAGGTGGCTTCAGTGTTACCAGAGAACTCTCAGAAGTCCTCATGTTGAGATGGTCAGGTCTCCTCACTGCATGCTGTGGAGAGCTTTGATAACCCCGATCAAAACTCAGGCCATTATCTCTTCCAAGATATTTTGGAAACAGAAATTCACACACTGCCTTGCCTTCTCTATGCGCAAAACCAAAAGTGTCCTGAAGAGTGTTCTCAGTGAGGACCCAAAGGAACGACTGGGCTGTTCTCCTTAAACAGGATTTGCTGATATTGTGGGGTGTCCATTCTTTCCAAATGCTGACTTGGATATGGTGGTGTGAGGAGGCAGCTGATCTTTCAAGCCATCTAGAACTAAGGGAGCTGAGAGATCTCCATGCGGCCTGAGAGTTATCTAACAGTGTCCTGAGGACTTGTGATCGACAGGTCCTGCTCCCCCCCAGTTTTGCCACGCCCGCTCTTCTGTATCATTTCCCCCAGAGAGACCTAAGTCCCATGCATCTTTACGGAGTGTGGGGAGGGGAGGTCTCTGTCTTCTGCAGCTTGCTTCAGGCTGGAAGGACTGCACACTGCCCTTCCTGGGGCTCGTGTGCTCTCCCATCAGCTTGGCTGGGCTGTGGGAAGGCGGTCAGTGGCCCTTGAGCTGCTGTTTGACAGGAGAAAGAAACTTTAGTGAGGAGCAGGTCCGACCTCCATGCTTCCTGTAGAGAAGAGCACACATTAGAGAGGTATGTTAGATAGGTTATCAAGAGTCTGACAGCCTCGGCCTTAGAAAGGGACTTGAGCCTTGCTTTTTTGGTCAGTACATGTTTACCCTTCTGTCTTTTTAAAATATCAGTGCCCAAGTAAGAGCAACTAGCTCTGCCTTTGAGCAAAGGTTCCCGGAGACAAAGCCACTTCCACCAGTGCGTCGCACCTCCTCAGGCTTTTGGGGGAGCAGGTCACTGGTGCCTTCTGCTTGCGTAAGCCTGAGAGATTACTTGTTCACAAGAGTGGCTAACTTTGGGCCTGTGGGTATCAAGTAAACCAGGTTAACAGTAGTACAAGTTTTTATACTAACCTAAAGGTGTCTAAGAGCACAGCCTGATACGTGGTGAGTCATTCCTCTGTTAAATACAAGTGACCTTGTGTCTCCAAGATGGCTCTGACCTGGCGGAGTTGGAACCTCTGGGCTCTGTCCCTAAGCTATCTTTGTAGGGTCTTCTGTTAGTATAGCTGTAGCTGCTGTTGCCCCCAGGCAGGGTGTCCATCCAGCTGACAGCTCATCTAATTTCCTTAAAAAGTACACCATGGGGGGGGGGGTCTTGTCCTAACCTTTGGGGCAAACCGCTGAAGCAGTTCCTTCCTTTTCTGACACAGAAAAAGAAACTTTTCTCTTTAACTAAGATATTCCTAGTGGGCATGCTTTGTTTTGCTGAAGGCATTATCAGGCCTTGTCAGTCACTTCTGTCCATTCTAGGGGCATAGGCTCAGCCTCCTGTAAAGGCTTTGCCTTGGTCCCCAGTTCCATAGCCAGAGCCTACCAAAGACTGCCATTCCCAGGAGGGAATGAAGCTGTTGCTTGGTGGCAGGAGGCCCGAGCTCACAGGGAGCCTGGATGGGGTCCCTAGACAGCTGGTGCCTCCCAGGTATAAGAAACTGGACTTGTGGGGGAACATCTGAGCTTTTTCTTTGGACACTTTAACCCCGTCTCACTAGAAAGTTAAATCTGCAAAGTGCTATGGTTAGGTAGTTGCTGAGTTGTGCTGCAAACTAGAAGAATATCTACATACTGTCGGCTGGTTCCTCAGTCTAGCTTTGAGTTCCTTGTCTTTTGCTAGTGTCTACGCACAAAGGCGCCCCTGTCTCTAAGGCCCTGTGGGGAACTGCGCAGATATGCTCCTGTTCCTCTCTTGTAATGGGGTTTTTCTGAGAGTCTGGACGTGGGGTGGGGGTGGAGGAGAAGGTACCTTTTAAATCTAAGATTGAGAACCAGTCAGTATTCCCCTGGAATTTGGGAATCGTTTGTGGATCTGGGCATAGAGAGTGGACTGGAATGACAGCCTTGTTAATGAGATGGAGGTCTTGTGCCATCCGATATTCTGAGGGCTTACTACAGTGAGAATGGGGGCGTTTCCAGGGCACTGACAAGGCTTAAAAAGACCATGTTTGAGAAATGTGTCTGTGAGGGACTGGAGACCTTTCCCTGCCTCTTTCTCGATTGGATACTGCTTTCCATTAGGCAGCTGGCTGGCGTCTTTTAGTCATCTATCCACTAGCATAGTGGAATCTGCCCTAGAGTTGTTTCCTTTATACTATGCAGTGGGACCCACCTGTTGGCTAATTTGGTCAGGGAGACTTGACAGAATTTGTGAATTGCCACCAATTTTGTTACTAAATCTCTTCTTGGAAAGGAAGACCACCACTGTGGGACAGTGAGAAACTTGTGGCTAAACAGCTAACCTTCCAAGTGACATGTTGGGGGGAGTAAAGAATCTCTGACTAGGGTTCCTTCAGCTCCAACTATGGCTGTGGACCTAGAGAGTGTTCCAGAAAAGGAAGCGGAAATGCAGTGAGCTGCCCCCGTCTAGAAGCAGTTGAGGTAGTCACCCATGACACCTAAGTACCTACGTTTCCTTGGTGATGTCCATGGACAGGTGCACTGCAGGTGTGCCTGGCCTCTTCTGGCCTCAGAGCAGGAAGTGAAGGTCCTTGCTGGCCTGGCCTCTCTGGAGCAGGGGACAGCCCCACCTCCAGTTTCAAGGGCCAGGCGTATTGCTGCCTCACATTCACAACAGGGCCCAGTGGCCAGCTCCTTGGCACCTGAAACAGGAATCTTTGCTTTGATTGTCCCTGAGTTCTCCCTCAGACAGCCTGGGTGGTTTGTAAGCATTGTCCATTGCAGCAGCTGTAACCGTAGCTTTTGGTCCCATCTCTCCTTCGAGACCCAACTGTTGAACACAGAAAAGGGGCGTCCAGCAGTGGGTCCGAGGCGTCGTGGCCCCTCTGAGGTTTTTATGCCGGGTATTTGGGGCTGACTACAGGCAAGCTGTCGTTCCTCAGGGCCCTTCCCTCCGGAAGGTGGGTCTGTGTTAGTGCACTCGTGGAGGCCTCTGCTAGGCAGTAGGAGACAAAGCTGGATTTTCTTCTGTGCCTTGTAAGACCCCTCACTTTGCCCTAATTAAAAGACTTTTTAATGCAGCTTTTCATCCCTCTGCTAAGAGCAGCCAGCATGCTAGGTACCATTTCTAGTCCACGTTGAGTACTGCAGTCCCAGTTTGGCTCTGTCGAAGGGAGGCGGCCGTCCAGGGTGTTCCCTTCCCTTTGTAAGCCACATCGCTTGTCTGTGTAGCTCCCAACCAATTATAGGATTGTTTTTCATCTTCCAAGCTTTGAAACCCATCTGCAAACTTACTAAGGTCTTCTGACACTGGCCCAAGTATTCCTTGCACCATTAGAAGTCTGAAAAAGGCACCTGTCCCCGTCTCCTTCCATTTTGGGGATTCTTTTAGGGGCAGGACTGGGTTCGGTCTGTGCGGCTTAAGCTGTCCGTGTGTCCCAGCGTGACTCAGGGCCGCTGAGGGAGCTGAGGATCGCACTCGTGGAGCGCTGGGTGCTGATGGAATCCTGTGGCTGCTTGGAGGGAGGCCTGATTCACGGTATGAGGATTGTAAGGGGGAAGTGGAGACCACCTCCGAGTGTGGTCCTCTTTCCTAACTAGATCAGGTAGATCCCCGAGTGACAGATGGGGGTCTTGGAACACAGTCATCAGCCTGCCTCTGTCTTGCTCAGGGCCGACAGTGAGTGCCATAGTTCTGGGATAGTCCGGAGTCCAAAGGCCCACCCCCTCCCCACCCCGTCTTTTGCCACCTCCTGGCTCGTGGTGAATCCTGCCCCGTTACAGCGGTAGACCAGCTGCCTTGGTTCCAAGCCGTCAGGACCAAACCCTTTCCTGTCATCAGGATGCGGCCTGCTGCCCAGGTCCCTGGGATCTGCCTGTCAAGGAGATGCAGAAGCTGCTCAGCGCCTCAGCTGGAGCCCTGGAGAGAGACACCAGGCCTGCACCGTCCAGGTGGCAGCCCGCCCACATGGGGGAGCCCGGCTTTCACAGAGCACCGCCTAGGGGGAGGGCGCAGTCGGTGACCCCAGCATCACCAAGCACAGCAGCAGCCCCCCACCCGGGCTCGGCCCAGCAGGCAAAGGGGGAGCCACTTTTCGGCCTCAGCGCGTGCTTTGCTCCAGGGTGTCCACTGCGCCCCCGTGTCCTGCTCAGCGGTCATCTCGCATTTCAGGTCCTGGAGGACGTTGGGGTGGGGTGGGGACCGTGGCGCGGGGGGACCCGGGGCCCCTTTATCCTGGGGCTTTGGTTAGGGTTCAGACGTCCCTGCTGTGCTCTTCAGGCCTCCAGCCTGGGGCCATGACCGACCTGCAGCAGACAGAGAGGCCCCACGTCAAGGCTGGCGGAGAGAGGGCGCTGGGTCCCCGCAAAAGGCCTGGGCCTTCGGGGTGGGGGGGTGCTTCTCCCGCAGGCCTTTGCGTGGCAGGAGATGGGGAGCTGCTCAGGCCTGCGGGGAAGACGGGCTAGGTGCTGCCCAGCTGCCCGCCTCTGCCCCTCCTGCCCGCCTCTGCCCCTCCCGCCCGCCTCTGCCCCTGCCGCCCGCCTCTGTCCCTCCTCCTGCCCGCCTCTGTCCCTCCTCCTGCCCGCCTCTGTCCCTCCTCCTGGCCGCCTCTGTCCCTCCTCCCGCCCTCCTCTGTCCCTCCTCCCGCCCGCCTCTGTCCCTCCTCCTGCCCGCCTCTGTCCCTCCTCCTGCCCGCCTCTGTCCCTCCTCCTGCCCGCCTCTGTCCCTCCCGCCCGTCTCTGCCCCTGCCGCCCGCCTCTGTCCCTCCTCCTGCCCGCCTCTGTCCCTCCTCCTGCCCGCCTCTGTCCCTCCTCCTGCCCGCCTCTGTCCCTCCTCCTGCCCGCCTCTGTCCCTCCTCCTGCCCGCCTCTGTCCCTCCTGCCCGCCTCTGCCCCTCCCGACCGCCTCTGTCCCTCCCGCCCGTCTCTGCCCCTGCCGCCCGCCTCTGTCCCTCCTCCTGCCCGCCTCTGTCCCTCCTCCTGCCCGCCTCTGTCCCTCCTCCTGCCCGCCTCTGTCCCTCCTCCTGCCCGCCTCTGTCCCTCCTCCTGCCCGCCTCTGTCCCTCCTCCTGCCCGCCTCCCTCCCTCCTGCCTGCCTCTCTCCCTCCTCCTGCCCGCCTCTGTCCCTCCCGCCCGTCTCTGTCCCTCCCGCCCGTCTCTGTCCCTCCCGCCCGTCTCTGTCCCTCCTCCCGCCCGTCTCTGTCCCTCCTCCCGCCCGTCTCTGTCCCTCCCGCCCGTCTCTGTCCCTCCTCCCGCCCGCCTCTGTCCCTCCTCCCGCCCGCCTCTGTCCCTCCTCCCGCCCGCCTCTGTCCCTCCTCCCGCCCGCCTCTGTCCCTCCTCCCGCCCGCCTCTGTCCCTCCTCCCGCCCGCCTCTGTCCCTCCTCCTGCCCGCCTCTGTCCCTCCCGCCCGCCTCTGTCCCTCCTCCCGCCCGTCTCTGTCCCTCCCGCCCGCCTCTGCCCCTCCCGCCCGCCTCTGCCCCTGCCGCCCTCCTCTGTCCCTCCTGCCCGCCTCTGCCCCTCCCGCCTGCCTCTGCCCCTGCCGCCCGCCTCTGCCCCTGCCGCCCGCCTCTGTCCCTCCTCCTGCCCGCCTCTGTCCCTCCTCCTGCCCACCTCTGTCCCTCCTCCTGCCCGCCTCTGTCCCTCCCGCCAGCCTCTGTCCCTCCTCCTGCCCGCCTCTGTCCCTCCTCCTGCCCGCCTCTGTCCCTCCTCCTGCCCGCCTCTGTCCCTCCTCCTGCCCGCCTCTGTCCCTCCTCCTGCCCGCCTCTGTCCCTCCTCCCGCCCGCCTCTGTCCCTCCCGCCCGTCTCTGTCCCTCCCGCCCGTCTCTGTCCCTCCCGCCCGTTTCTGTCCCTCCTCCCGCCCGTCTCTGTCCCTCCTCCCGCCCGTCTCTGTCCCTCCCGCCCGTCTCTGTCCCTCCTCCCGCCCGCCTCTGTCCCTCCTCCCGCCCGCCTCTGTCCCTCCTCCTGCCCGTCTCTGTCCCTCCCGCCCGCCTCTGCCCCTCCCGCCCGCCTCTGCCCCTGCCGCCCTCCTCTGTCCCTCCTGCCCGCCTCTGCCCCTCCCGCCTGCCTCTGCCCCTGCCGCCCGCCTCTGCCCCTGCCGCCCGCCTCTGTCCCTCCTCCTGCCCGCCTCTGTCCCTCCTCCTGCCCACCTCTGTCCCTCCTCCTGCCCGCCTCTGTCCCTCCCGCCAGCCTCTGTCCCTCCTCCTGCCCGCCTCTGTCCCTCCTCCTGCCCGCCTCTGTCCCTCCTCCTGCCCGCCTCTGTCCCTCCTCCTGCCCGCCTCTGTCCCTCCTCCTGCCCGCCTCTGTCCCTCCTCCCGCCCGCCTCTGTCCCTCCCGCCCGTCTCTGTCCCTCCCGCCCGTCTCTGTCCCTCCCGCCCGTTTCTGTCCCTCCTCCCGCCCGCCTCTGTCCCTCCTCCCGCCCGCCTCTGTCCCTCCCGCCCGTCTCTGTCCCTCCTCGCGCCCGCCTCTGTCCCTCCTGCCCGCCTCTGCCCCTCCCGCCCGCCTCTGCCCCTCCCGCCCGCCTCTGTCCCTCCTCCTGCCCGCCTCTGTCCCTCCTCCTGCCCGCCTCTGTCCCTCCTCCTGCCCGCCTCTGTCCCTCCTCCTGCCCGCCTCTGTCCCTCCTCCTGCCCGCCTCTGTCCCTCCCGCCCGTCTCTGTCCCTCCCGCCCGTCTCTGTCCCTCCCGCCCGTTTCTGTCCCTCCTCCCGCCCGTCTCTGTCCCTCCTCCCGCCCGTCTCTGTCCCTCCCGCCCGTCTCTGTCCCTCCTCCCGCCCGCCTCTGTCCCTCCTCCCGCCCGCCTCTGTCCCTCCCGCCCGTCTCTGTCCCTCCTCCCGCCCGCCTCTGTCCCTCCTGCCCGCCTCTGTCCCTCCCGCCCGTCTCTGTCCCTCCTCGCGCCCGCCTCTGTCCCTCCTGCCCGCCTCTGCCCCTCCCGCCCGCCTCTGCCCCTCCCGCCCGCCTCTGTCCCTCCTCCTGCCCGCCTATGTCCCTCCTCCTGCCCGCCTCTGTCCCTCCTCCTGCCCGCCTCTGTCCCTCCTCCTGCCCGCCTCTGTCCCTCCTCCTGCCCGCCTCTGTCCCTCCTGCCCGCCTCTCTCCCTCCCGCCCGCCTCTGTCCCTCTCGCCCGCCTCTGTCCCTCCTGCCCGCCTCTCTCCCTCCTGCCCGCCTCTGTCCCTCCTGCCCGCCTCTCTCCCTCCTGCCCGCGTCTGTCCTCCTGCCCACCTCTGTCCCTCCTGCCCACCTCTGTCCCTCCTGCCCACCTCTCTCCCTCCTGCCCGCCTCTCTCCCTCCTGCCCGCCTCTGTCCGTCCTGCCCACCTCTCTCCCTCCTGCCCGCGTCTGTCCTCCTGCCCACCGCTGTCCCTCCTGCCCACCTCTGTCCCTCCTGCCCACCTCTCTCCCTCCTGCCCACCTCTGTCCCTCCTGCCCACCTCTGTCCCTCCTGCCCACCTCTCTCCCTCCTGCCCACCTCTGTCCCTCCTGCCCACCTCTGTCCCTCCTGCCCACCTCTCTCCCTCCTGCCCACCTCTCTCCCTCCTGCCCACCTCTGTCCCTCCTGCCCACCTCTCTCCCTCCTGCCCACCTCTCTCCCTCCTGCCCGCGTCTGTCCTCCTGCCCACCTCTGTCCCTCCTGCCCGCGTCTGTCCTCCTGCCCACCTCTGTCCCTCTTGCCCACCTCTGTCCCTCCCGCCCGTCTCTGTCCCTCTCGCCGGCCTCTGTCCCTCCCGCCCGTCTCTGTCCCTCTCGCCCGCCTCTGTCCCTCCTGCCCGCCTCTCTCCCTCCTGCCCACCTCTGTCCCTCCTGCCCACCTCTCTCCCTCCTGCCCACCTCTCTCCCTCCTGCCCGCCTCTCTCCCTCCTGCCCACCTCTGTCCCTCCTGCCCGCCTCTCTCCCTCCTGCCCACCTCTGTCCCTCCTGCCCACCTCTCTCCCTCCTGCCCACCTCTCTCCCTCCTGCCCGAGTCTGTCCTCCTGCCCACCTCTGTCCTCCTGCCCACCTCTGTCCCTCCTGCCCACCTCTCTCCCTACTGCCCACCTCTCTCCCTCCTGCCCGCCTCTCTCCCTCCTGCCCACCTCTGTCCCTCCTGCCCGCCTCTCTCCCTCCTGCCCACCTCTGTCCCTCCTGCCCACCTCTCTCCCTCCTGCCCACCTCTCTCCCTCCTGCCCGAGTCTGTCCTCCTGCCCACCTCTGTCCTCCTGCCCACCTCTGTCCCTCCTGCCCACCTCTGTCCCTCCTGCCCACCTCTGTCCCTCCTGCCCACCTCTGTCCCTCCTGCCCACCTCTCTCCCTCCTGCCCACCTCTCTCCCTCCTGCCCGCGTCTGTTCCTCCTGCCCACCTCTGTCCTCCTGCCCAACTCTCTCCCTCCTGCCCGCGTCTGTCCTCCTGCCCACCTCTGTCCTCCTGCCCAACTCTGTCCCTCCTGCCCACCTCTGTCCCTCCCGCCCACCTCTGTCCCTCCCGCCCGTCTCTGTCCCTCTCGCCCGCCTCTCTCCCTCCCGCCCGCCTCTGTCCCTCCCGCCCGTCTCTGTCCCTCCCGCCCGTCTCTCTCCCTCCTGCCCGCCTATCTCCCTCTCGCCCGCCTCTGTCCCTCCCGCCCGTCTCTGTCCCTCTCGCCCGCCTCTGTCCCTCTCGCCCGCCTCTGTCCCTCTCGCCCGCCTCTGTCCCTCCTGCCCGCCTCTCTCCCTCCTGCCCACCTCTGTCCCTCCTGCCCGTCTCTGTCCCTCCTGCCCACCTCTGTCC